CCCCCAGAGTGTTCTTCCGATAGCCCATAGATAGAGTGCCATGCCATGCGTGTTCGCTCTTGCTGTAGGTATGTCGCGAGTTCCAACGTGGGGCGTGCAAACGCGGCGAGACGGAGTGCCGGTTTGCGCACCCCCTCGAGACGGTGCAGGCGAACGAGGACGGCTCTGTGACGGTCTGCATGGACGCTGTCAAGGGCCGATGCAATCGGGACCCCTGCCGCTATTTCCACCCCCCTCTGCACCTTCAAGTCCACATTAAGGCCGCACAATCTCGGGCTAGCATTGCGGTAATGCATTCTCTCTGTCTCACTCTCTCTCTCTCTCTATCTCTATCTATCTCTCACACTTTCTCTATATCTTATCTGTCTCTGTCTATCTCTCTTTGTCCTTTATACTCTTACTCTGTCTTTGTCTCTTTGTCATTATTGTTGTTTATATTATTATTCTCGTTTTCTACTTGCTCCTCGATCTCACTTTCATCCTACTTCCTGTTGTTTTGTAGACGTTGGCGTCATGGCTTTTTCTTGGTTGGGCAACTCGAACTTTTTGAGATCTGTTATACTTTTTTTTTTTTTCTTTTTGATTCTGTCACTTTTTTTTTTATACACGGCTCTCTCGTGACTTTTGAGACGATTGTTTTTGACATTGACGGTACATTTTTTTTCGGTGTCGAGGACTTTGTTTTTGGAGGTTGATAATTTTTTGAAAATTTTTTGACTTTCTTTTGCTTCGATTTTAATGGTTCGTATTAGTAAGATTGACGGGTTTGGAATATTTTGAAAATTTTTAGATCTTGGTGATCTCGAACTTTTTGCGACTAGAGGGGTAATTTTTTTTAATCGGACAATTTTTTTAATCAGTAATCTTGAGACTCGATGATTTTTACCTTTGACCTCACTCCTGTTCATTCTCTTTTATTGTCACTTACTAGCTTTTTCTCTGTTCTTGTATTTCTCTCTCGCTCTTTCTCTCTCTCTCTCTCTCTCTCTCTCTCTCTCTCTCTCTCTCTCTCTCTCTCTCTCTCTCTCTCTCTCTCTCT